AAGCTTCACATTGGTTGAATAATGAGAAGAAGTGCCTGAGCAATGTAAGTAGATGGAGGCAAGATGTGTAAGAGTAGAGAAGGAGAAGGGGATGTAAGAGATGGGCGATAGCTGTAAGGGATAGAACAGGTCACAGGAAGAAAATAGATTGGGAAAGAACAAAGCAGAGGATTCGGACCAACACGAACCATTATTACTGTTACAAGACCGAAGGCGGTGAAGCTGACAACTTACGGCTGTACAAATGTCTCCTCGTAAGCAGTACTGTCAGTTGGCCTTGATAGTACCTCACAAAGAGTTCTGCTGCTGGCCCTCGTGTAATTGTAACACGATCACTACTGGTCTTGTCCCCACCACCCCCACTCCCACTGCAAACTTTCCCTGCTTCTCTCATGGTTACAGCTGAGCAGACCAACTCCAATTGATTACCTCATAATACCTCCTCAATATCCTCATCACTTCGCGCTTCTATTGGTAGCTCGCTGCGGACGTGGACTTAGTTCTCTCCACCCTTCTCTCTGGCCCCTTTGCATACGAGTTGTCGCCGCAGAAAGTCTTAGACTGTTGCACACCATACGCGCCCCCTCTACTACGTATTGAGTTGAGTTGGTGGCAGTCTGAAACAACAGCGGCTGCCTACCTGTTACTTTTTGTGGAGCGAAAATGGCGCCCCGGGCAATTCAAAATCTATGCACCATTTCTATTTTCAGTCCCAACTGACGCCATGTCTCTCTCTCTCTCTCTCTCTCTCCCTTCCAAAATGGCAAGGTGGTCAGTCAACAGCCGTGATGCACGTCTACGCCCCAGCACTGAGACCCCGAGCCTACAAGAACAAAAGTGCAGGAAGACAGTCTCGAAAGGGACATGAGATATGCAAAGCAAGCCGTCCAGAAGTAAGTGTTTGCTCAAGCTCTGTTGTCGTCCTTGTCATTCTTATTATTCTCGCCTTGCTTCTTTTTCCTCCCCCCTCTTCCTTGGGGGCAATTATCCATTACGATAACCTTATACGCAGGGACTTTCATCATGCTAATCCCATTAGCCTTCTTACGCAGAACCGGAAGTTCTCGCCCTCCAGCTACCTCCTCATCCGCACCCGGCCCGCGCGAGCACGAGAAAGTACTAGCCACTGGGTCCTTACCGGCAGCCCTGTTGCGCTGTGCGATTCATCTCCTTCCGATCATAATGTCGGTCACAATTATCACAATAAATCTCAGCGGCAAATATATTGGCGCAGATTTTATGTCGCCAGTCAAATCCGAGACCATCAATCTTCTATTATTGCAGCTGATTGCCAAGAGCCATGAGATCATGGTTGTGGCTTCCCTTAGCGTGGTGGTTATGGATTTTGTACGACATGAGCTCATATTCGGCGGCGGTGTGCCTTTGGGTCTCATCAGCGCGGGTATCAATTTCAACAGGTTCGATCTCTTTCTTCGGAAAGAGTTGTATGGCTCGCTGGGGTACACAGGCGCTCATGGTAAAGCTTCGCAAGTCCCTTTTTTGTGGGCCTTGTGGTAGTAGCAGGTCTGGTAGCTTCTTTAGCTGGTCCTGCGATTGCTGTTTTCTCGTGCCCAAGTCCCAGGTGTGGCGAGTCGGGAGCAAGACTTTCCCCATAGTCGGCGCAGAATCTCAGTTCTGGCCCCATGACTTATCAGGCAACATGTCCGGACTACATCAGCCGTATAGAAATGGAAGTTCAACCACTGCCCCTTTCCCTTTCTGTTCTGCTGGCGGTTATCACTCTCTGTGGATATATTAGAAACTAGGACTAGTACTAACTTCCAGAATATTCTCTCCTATGCCAAGATATTATCCGGTTCTTGTTTCTACTGGCTAAAATCAAGCCCTTCGTCACTTATTCCTTTACTTTACGCTCTCGGGGACACATTCCTAGTGCAAGCCCATGCTGCTGTGACAACAGCCCTACAACGGCTTGCAGAGACTTGGTGGAATGTCTTTATAGCATATAATGACCTGCTGCCCAACTATTTAGATGACCGTATCATATCCGCTGAGGTATGTAGTGCTATTGTTCGTCTCCGCTACTCAGACCAACAACTCCTGCGGACCCTAGACCAAACTACGCTTTTCTTGGGTTCTTCTTCCACCAGAATTTGGCGCAGTTAGCATCGGGGATCTGTCTGAGCCAGCATGGGATCTTGCACTTGAGGATGGACTTGAGAAGGAGTAGTAGTCGTCTGAGGCGGCGATAGACTGTTGAGACTGGGTGTGCATTAATTATGGTCGATTAGCTGTGAGGGGATCAGTCATCGATCAGCCTGATTTCGAAGACGCATCATGCATTTCCTTGGCTGGGTGCCAAGGTTATGCAGAGTGAACTTACAACTGACAATTCTGAGACTCACATTCCCAGAGCCCGGAGCGAGCATGGCGGCCGAGAATCACCCGAGGAATGTATGCGGTGAACAGCTCACTTGCAGTGCGGATTGTGGACGTGTCCGATGAACATTCCCTCAGATGCAGAACCTGGTCCTGCCCACGAGGTAATAAGAGGCAAGTACAGCAAACAAAAAGGTAAGGGACGGTGCTGAATTGGGGTGTAAATGACACGGATAAGACTTCTGGATTAGCAAGAATTGTTGTCGGTTGTTCTGTTCAGACTGGGTGGGTACCTAGTACCATTTTCACCGACAAGTACAGGTTCTGGACTGGCTGGAATCCATGGAACATCAAGTTCAAAAGCCGCACTCCCGCCTGGGATCCCAACTCTGGCGCATCTACAAATGGTCGAGTATCATTTGGATTTGAGTGGCTCAACCTTTGGGCACCCAAAGCCCCTATCAAAGGCTCCGATACCTGGGGACCCTCAACCATAAAGAATATCTCGTCCAACACTGCTTTATTGGGGTACGCACAGATCAACATAACAGGTGCGACGTCGCTGGAAGGTTGGCTCAATGATCGTGAACTCGGTCAGAAAAAGGTAGCGATGCTCGAAGCCATCATCGGCAGCGTGGTGGTGGACGGCCTTAGGCGAACGGGCAGCTATCAACTGTTCAAATTTTCCGATCCATCCTGTAACTGAAGTGTTGCGAACTCTGGCCACTCGCCCGGACTTGCTTACCAGATACCGAAACGCAAGCAGACTGCGGGCAATGCTTCATGTTCCAGTCAGCATGAATTCACGACGACTGAGGCGGATATGAAAATCAGTGGCTTCTCTCTTCGGGGCTCACTTGCCTCTGACCTGGCTATGCCAACACTCTTAACGCACATGATTTTGGCAATCATTCACGTCATTCTCGTCGTCTATCGATGGAGCATGTCAGGCAGTTGGACCTCTTTGGGCGAATTATTGCCCTCGCCCAGAACTCCCAACCTGCCCCCATAATCCTGGGGAACACTGGTGCAGGCATTAAATCATCGAGGACTTATGCTCAGGTGGCAAAGGTGCGGGTACGGAAAGCTGCACCCATGGAACGCGAACATGTGAGGTTATTTGACGACCTTGTTCAGGCAACTGGCCAGTCTAATTCCACCGAGCAATAATTGGATGAGCTTCGTGATCCACTCTTGCACCATCCTGCTACATGGCCAGACTATCGAGCTAGGGCGCCAGATCCAGGAGATGGCTCGACGGTATTACTGCGCATGAGCAGGTCTGGTTCCCAATCGACGTCTGAATTTACTAACATGCCAACCTTCGTTCGGCCGGATCAAGTTCTGTAGGCAGAGCCGTGATTGTTGAGCTAGCGACTCATTACCTCGCCTGTCGTCGAGTCATAATTGGTTAGAACTACGTGTGCATGGGCAATCTATTGTCATTGTTGGGTCTTTCCCGCTTTTAGCGCACGGATTCTCGTCCTCAATCTAGCAGCTCTTCAGCTTAGAATCCGTCGATCGCGATCTATCTCCCTGCAGACCCTTCTAGTCTAGCAAGAGAAGCTCTCTCTGGTAGCCTCATTGGATCCAGAATATGATCTTCCCTTTCCATGTTCTTATTCTATTAGTCGTTCTCGGTAACGCTGGACACGGCTGGGAATTTGTTCCGGCTTCTTTCCTTTCCCTAGATTCACTCTTCTGTTCAGCCACGTCTTTGACAACTCACAATACTGGCGGGCCTTGAGGGCGTCCAGGGCAGGTCATCACTGTGTTTCTACTACTTTGGATGATATGAAACCTATTCGCTTCATTTCTTGTAAAGCTTTTGCTCGCGCTGAATCTATCTCTTACTCGGGACCAGGCTTCTGCTTCTTACACTCGTCTGAAGTAGACATTTCGCTTTCCTCATCTCTTGCAAGCACTCCTGTCTATTTCTTAGCCCTCTCTCGTCACTTGCAGCCAAACGTATTGCAATTTTTCTCGGGGAATTGTCACAATTCCCATGAAAATGATAGCCTGGATCGTTATCATGCTAATACTGTTGCCCTTGTTACGCAAGACGAAAATTCCCCGCCGTCCGGCTACCTGATCGTCCGCACCCAGCCGCGCGAGCCGTGAACAAGTCGAAGGAACTTGATCGATATGCCAATCTTCTGCTTCTGGGGCAATTGCAGCCTGAAGACCATAGGGAGAGAGAGCACCATCGTGAGGCCTGCGTTTCGATTGACTATCGTTAGTTGCGGGACAAGAATAGCCAGGGCCCTTCCGTGTCAATTTCACAGACGTTTGTCTCTTGGAACACACCTTCATCGATGTCTTATTTGGGGCCGTAGTCTTTCGGCTGTGTTGGGTTCTTTGTAGCGCTTGTTGAGATGTTTATCTCATTTCCTTGGGGTGGCTCTAGTCAAACGAATATTAGCAGAGATAAAGCACCTAGAGATTTACATGTCCCTCGTACCTCCTGGAGCCGTAGTCTTTCGGCTGTATTGGATTCTTTGTAGCGCTTGTTGAGATTTTTATCTCAGTTCCTTGAGGTGGCTCTAGTTAAACAAGTATTAGCAGAGATAAAGTACCTAGATCTACATGTCCCTCGTACCTCCTGGGGCCGTAGTCTTTTGGTTGTGGTTTCTGGGTAGTGTTTGTTAGGATGTTTATCTCACTTTCTTGGGGTGGCTCTAGTCAAACGAATATTAGCAGAGATAAAGCACCTAGAGATATACATGTCCCCATACCTTATGGGGCCGTAGTCTTTCGGTTGTGACTTGGTTCCTGAACATATCCCCTCCAGCGGTTCACAGCTATTTCCTGTGACTAATAGGTCCTTATCAGTCCACATCTCCATTTAAAAGGAGTAGAAACACTCACGTCTGGCTTGGAGAATTCTCTCAGGCTTTTTGTTTAGATACAACTTGGTTCCTGAGCATATCCCCTCCAGCGGTTCAGAGCTGTTCTGTCAGGGCGCCCCTTAGGTGCGCTTCTAGGGACGAGTGAATGTGAAATCAATCGGATCCTCACACATTCGTTAGAATGGCGGCCCTGGTCGCTTTGGCGCTTGGTGGAGAGAGCAATATGTGGAGTTGGTTGAACAGAGTACCATCGCGGTGGGCGTTAAGTTGTATAGTAGCGGAGGTGAGGTGGGCCTTCGGGCCTACCTTGTTCCCGCCACTGGCTTCCTTCCCTACGGAGGAGCCCCTCGATCTTCTACTACAACTTCCACCTAGTTGTTTGCCTTCAGTTGTCATTCCTACTCGAATACAATCGTTGTTATCATCCCTTCTCCTCACCATACTGCTTCGCTTGATCTTACAGACGTCAGATCTCTCAATACACAACGTTCACGGGTAATGTGACGGTAGGAAGAACCATAACGGCTCATGTCAGGCTAGTGCCGATCACTGCCAACCTTATTTCTCCGTTGCATCGCTGATCCCTTGACCTGCCATTCATTATTCCTTGATTGACGTCTCTCCTTTCAATTACTGCAAGCCCTTTAGACCAGGCTTTCAACCCCACAAATGGCGAACTTATGGCGTTTTCGTCGTCATATGCACCCGAGTATATCATCGCCGCATCCAACGGGCTTGTTATGCCTCATGCTCGCTCTTTGGTATCTACTCTCGGTCGGCTATTATCGGTCGGCGAGTCACCGCGATCCTACCTCCTTCTTCTTCAACCCCAGTCGTGCCTACGAGAAACGGTATTCCGCGCATCGAATTCAAGAGGCAGAGTCCTTTCTCGTCAGGGCTGGCGACTTTCCCTCCCCAGCAAAGCCATCTGGCAACACCCAGGCTACGATTTGCGTGGGGATAGTGACGGTTCGCCGAAGAAAAGACCAATATGTTGGGTTGACAGTCGCCTCTCTTCTGGAGGGCTTGACCGAGTCGGAACGAAGCACTATATTCCTCGATATACTCATTGCACATACCGATCCCTCTACCCTCCCGATCTTCTCAGAGAAATGGGTAGAAGTTCTACCCGACCGCGTCCTCCTGTACCCGAAAGAAGATAATCCCGATTACGAGCAAATCCGCGAATGGGAGGAGGGAGGATGGTATCGCAACAAGACCATCTACGATTTTACACATTTGATGAAGGATTGCTATGATACGGGCGCAGATTATGTCGCTATGATTGAAGATGATACATTGGCTGCCAAGGGCTGGCTCTCTTCTACGTTGCATGCCCTTGATGTGATCCACCAGCGCAGCATAGCAGGGCAAGACTGGGTCTATCTTCGTCTATTCTATGTTGATAACCTGCTTGGTTGGAACTCGGAGGAGTGGCCACGTTATCTCGCGTTGTCTTTCGTTATCTGGGCTACTTTAACGGGTGCCATGGTATTCATAAAAAGGAGGTTCTTCAAGTCAACACCTGCGAGTGCTATCTGGATGACATCTCTCATTTTTATCCCGGCATTCATCGGACTACACTTCATCGCAGGACGGCAGACAATGTGGCCGATTCGTTCCGGGGTCCACGAGATGAACAAGTACGGATGCTGCTCGCAGGGCCTGGTCTTCCCACGTTCGATAGTACCGCAATTTCTGGAACATACCGACTTGACAACCGATTGGCTAGTTGATATGATGGTCGAGAAAATTGCCAACAAAGAGGAGTGGAAACGTTACGCGGTAGTTCCACCAGTCCTTCAACATATCGGTGCCACGAGCTCGAAAGGGTATGGATTTGATAAGTCGGCGAAGACAATCTGGAATTTTAGATACGAAGAGTATCCATATAGATAGGAGGTTCATTGTAAGGAAGTCTCGTGTGTACCTGAGTATATAGGGGACTCTAGGGGTCCGCAGAGTATCTGCGGGTAATGCTGGCCTTATGTTCCTGTATTGACTTTCCCCCTTAGAAAGGTTCTTACATTCACCGACTAGGTCTCACTCGCCCCTTATATATCTCTGCTAGGGCCATCTTGCGATACTTTTAGAGGTAGGTTCCGACACAGCATGGAGTAACGAAGAACATGCTGTTCGTTCTGTTACGCCGCCCAGCTTATCGTAATAAGTGATGTGGAAATAGTATTCCAGCCTGTTCTAAGGCACATACTGCACTTGAATCTTTGGTTGGATCATCAACTAGGTGTAAATTCCAATATCTTTCGTCGTTTCATATATAGGGAGCAGAGAACAACTACGACGGCTTCGAACTAGCATTTTAGCCTAACTTGGATCATCACCAGGCATGTACTTTCATGGTCGAACTATGTTCAACTTGGATTCTCTTCTGGGTATTAGTATGCTTGACCTGGTCTCAAGGTAAATATCGTCATCTGCCTCCATGACCATGTAGCTGTTCCATCATGACACTAGTTTTTCTGGTTTCATCTGATACTGGACTCAGAAGAATTTATTTATTATTAATTTTTAAGTAACTGCTCATACACAGCGCCACCTAGCAAGGCGTGGCTGGCTGGTTTTCCAACTCTCCCATTACCACTCAATCCACATATATGTAAGTGGCTTCAACGAGAATCCTACTGGAGAGAGGGCGTCCTAGCATCCCCATATCCTCATAAAAGCGGTGATGAGATATTGTTGGATGCAGCACTTCTTCTACAAGCCCAACTACTCCGGTTCAGCAAGCCGCAAACAAACGATCTCGGAGTCCTCCAAGACTGGCTAGAACAGGAACAGAGCGAGATAACATACTTTTCCCCAGTATCAATGGAGCGGGGAGAACGCTTAATATTTGATTGCGTTACATGGCCGACACGATGGCACGGGCAAGTTTACCTGTCTAATGTATACCCGAGTCATTCCGTTCTTCCATAGATGGCTAGGGTATCGGGATACCGTATGTTGCATTCTACGAACCCCCTGGACTCGAACTTCTTGGCATCGAGCTAATAATCATCTTTAATCACAGGCTCGAAAAGATGTCGAAGCTGGTGTGTGGTACTACGGTCACAGAAAAGATCCTGGACATACATAATGAGCTTGCTAATCCTAGCCCTCCTACCTGAGACTTCAGTAGTCGCGCTATATTTCATCCAGCAGACGGTGGCCAAATTGATTATATTTTTCAATTCGTGTACAATATCATATTCGTGCTGGTAATGGGGCTCAGGGTCAAGGCGAAACGCGTGGAGAATTTTGCCACGGCGGCAGCGTGATTATTTATTTATTATCCTACTCTCCCAGTTAGATAGATACCAGCTAATACTTTTCACAGATTCGCTGCGATCCAGGTTACCATCCTTACGAGGGGGAATGGTAGCTCTTGATCTCTGATGATTACGAAGTATTATTGCACGGAATATTAAAGTTCGAATTTGTCGAAGATGACTGTCATGGATCTATCAGTAGTATTTCCTTCGCGTATTTAAATTCATCCACAGACTCTTTTCTTATTCGACCGGACATGCTCAGCATGCTTCACAATTATCAAGGTACGAGATGCAATGGATCGCCATGCTATTCTGTGCCCGTGTCGAGCATTCCGATCGCCGATTGTTAATCCACGAAACCCTTGCGCCCTACACACAGCATTTTGTCTAACATGTCTTAGCAAACGCGCTCTCTAAGTACCCTCTATCAAATTAGTTACCAAGGGGGAAAGCGTCGTCATCAACTCCGTAACATAGCGACTTGAATAGCGCGCATCCCGACTTTGATCCGAATGCTCGAGATCAGACGCCGAGGTGGTGCAAAGTGAGAAACAAACGCCGATTGGCCAAGGCTTGTTGTACCCCGCACAAAAACCGAGAACGACCAGACTGTACTCGTCTCGACAAAAGGCTTGATTTATTCGGCTAACTGGTGTCTTTCCTGGCTGAATATCAATATCGCTCTCAGATACAATGATCACCCCATCATGGTAGCATCATACACGCTTTCCAACTCCCTAACCATCCTCCAGATCCCCTCATACACCCCATCCGCTTTCATCGACGCTCTCAGCGCCTCAATTCCCATGTGTAACTCCTCCTCGAGCCTTTCCGCATCTTGTATCGCCGTCCGCTCACTCGGCCGATCTAGCAAATCATAAACACTGCTCAGATTTCCCGCAGACAATGCCGCTCTAACACGCCACAACACCATGGCAAGTACATAGAAGCTCTGCATCCCACACCAAGCCATGTATGGTAGAGACCGTGGTGAACTGATTGATCGCCTCGAGAACGCACTACTAAGTCCGAGCTCAAGTCCGAATCCCAAAGTCTCTCCATCGGTTGGAGTGTCAGAGTACATCGGATTCGGTGTAGGCAGGTGACGAAAGACGCGAGATATCAGTAGTGCGGAGCGAATGCAGATACGCATGGATTCTTGATCGTCAACTGGAAAGAGAGCGTCCACTTCAGTCCTTCGGGATGCAGAAAGGGGTGTGTTAGTGCCGCTAGCACTAATGCTGTTGTTTGAGAGGCTATCGACGGGACGGTCAGGGAAGGCGCGAACTCGATGGAGAAGTAATCTAGCAGTGTGGATAAGGATGCGTGACATCGCCCAGAGCACGCGCTCCGCGTCGGCTTCGGTGCCTTGGCAGTTGGCTATGCAGCGGTAGCGGTCTGTTTCGGTGGCTATGTCAAGTAGAGAAGACTCAAGGTGTTTGATTTCATTGTGCAAGGAAAACGGAAGACATCCTTGATCGTGAATGGTCTCGTTGGAGAGCTGGCGGGTGATGGTGCAGCTGCGGTGAAGGAGGGATTGCGCTTGTACGACATAGGGCCATGGCTGATTCTTGTTAGAAGAATTGGATATCAGGTGGAAGGGAGTTACGCACCTCTCGACAGCCACGAATTACTGTATATGGCGTGGTGATGCGGAAGTCTTCGCTGGTTATGAGGGGCGGCTAAATCGCCGAATTAGCGAAGTCCTATACACAAGGACGGAACGTTGCAAACAGACCGAAGCTGTCAGAATGGAAGAATGATAAACAAGGAACATCTGCGACAATCAGTATGCTTTCATGGGCTCTGAGTGAAAGAAGTCAAGCGACATACTGTAGACCACCAGCAGCGACGAATCGCGTCGGAACAATTAGTTGCCGACTTCTGTGTATGTAATGAGAGGTCCATAGCCATTGTTAATGCCTGATTGGCTCGGATACGCATCTTGGAGACGTTTCCTCGCTGGCAGCATTCATATAGGCTGAGAAGCGCTAATGCGAGGACCGGCTCCATTTGCCGGGGGATATCCGGATGCAAGGGGCTGCACGGGCCCTTTGTCAGATCGGAATTGGAAGACGGCTCGAGTGATTCTTCCGATGCATCTAACGCCGAGCGTGCAAAAAGATCGGCAAAAGAGCGCCGCAGGGTAGTGGTCTCATCGCCTGTCGCGTACGCATCTCCTGGTGGCGGTATCAGTGCCAACAACGCTGCCAAGGCCAAACCCAATGAGGTAGTTGGCCAGTAAGGCAGATGAGATGCATTTGCCTGAGCCAAGCAGATGTTTATTGTCTTGGGCTTGTCCACATACTGGGCCACAGCTGGTGGAGGTAGGAGAGGTAGATATGGATGGATGAAGATATAATAGGCATTAATACTGGAGGACGATTAGAGAACAACCCTGTACGACATCGGATGATCACGACGTACAGATCCTGATCACACCGATAAACACGGAGGGTCCGCGTCGGCTGGCTCAAAGTCTCCCGAAGCTCCTGACCGGTTCCGGGGCCTTTAGGTGATAACGGAAATCCCGGGCTCACTAAATTTTCTTGCGGCGTATCAGATGGTCGGTATCCGGTCTCGATGGGAGATGGAGACGGTAGAGAAACCGGGGTGGCTGCATTGATCTGCGCTGTATGGGGCCGAGTCAAAGTAAATGCATCATTTGTGATGGCATGATCGCTGACCCTGGTTGCATTTTGCAATCGTTGGGCCTTCTTCCTGGCCCGCTCCTCAGCGGCAACAGGACCCCGTCGAGCGCCCCCTCGCCGACTCGGTTGATATTGGCATTCCTGCCGATGGATAGTGCACTACACCGGGTTACTAGAGATCAACCTGGCCGCTTGAATATCCATCGGCTTACATTGGTGCACGGGTTCTGCCCGTCGCAGCGAATTTTGGAGGCACGACTGTCCAGGTTAGAATTCGGCTCCTTGCATCGGTCCCCGCGGAATCATCAATCAGTCACTTACCAGGCCAGACACGCCACCTTCACCGGTCGAGAAGTGGAAGGCATTGGTACACTCTCCCGTCTTCTCGTATCCCTGATTCTTGTGAGCTGCTATTCTTGGGTATATTTATCCCGTCAGGGCAGTATAATATCGAATACAGGCATCTTCCAGTTCTGGGGGAAGAAAGAGAGTTGGAAGTTTCGGCGTCTGAAATTCGGCGATTGAACCGGGTATTAGTCAAGCGTCATTCTGATTGCGCCACTCTCGGCCTTTCCGGGGACCCACTTGCCCCCTCCTTTGACAAACGGTGTACTCTTCGTATTTAGATCCAAAACAGCCGATCCCTCCGCCCATATGTCGTAACCTCTCCTCTACGCAGACATTTCTTTGTCAAGCTTCTTTCAATGATCCTGGAAGGCAACCCATCATGACTAGAGAAACAGTCCAAGCTATTCCGGCAAGCGAGGAGTACTACGACCTTGGCTCCTACGGTCATGTTATCAGCACCACCAGCCCCGACACCCAGACCTGGTTCAACCGGGGTCTGACATGGGTCTACGCCTTCAACCACGTAGAGGGGGCCTACTGCTTCGAACAAGCCATTGCAAATGATCCGACATGTCCGATGGCATACTGGGGGCTCGCCTATGCCGTAGGTCCGAACTACAATAAGCCCTGGGAGAAGTTCGACAAGAGAGACCTACATGCATGCGTACAACGAGGCTTTGATGCCGCACAGAAGGCCAAGGAACATGCCGGGAATGCAACACCCCTGGAACAGGCTCTCATCGAAGCAATCCAATCACGTTTCGTCGCCAACACCCCGCCTAACGATTACCCGACCATCAACAAGGGCTACGCCGCCGCCATGAAGCTCGTTTACGACGCTTTCGGAGATGACATCGACGTGGCCACGCTCTACGCCGACGCCTTGATGAACATGACTCCTTGGGCTCTGTGGGATCTCTTCACCGGGAAGCCGAATCCTAGCGCACCTACGATGGAAGTGAAAGCTGTTCTAGACCGAGCGCTTACTTTTGAGAATGCAAACCTCCATCCCGGCCTGCTTCACCTCTATATCCACTATATCGAGATGTCACCCACCCCAGAACTAGGTATAAATGTGGCTGATAACCTCCGCAACCTTGTCCCGGATGCCGGTCATATCCACCACATGCCTACCCATCTTGATATCCTTATTGGAGACTGGAGGCGTTCCATTGCCTCAAATTACAACTCGACCCTTGCAGACGATAAATACTTCCGCAAGGAAGGAGCTGCTAACTTCTACACCTTCTACCGTATGCATGACTACCACTCCTTGATCTACGCAGCTATGTTTGCCGGAAAATCTCAAATGGCACTCGACGCAGTCACACGCATGGAAGCCACCGTTCCCGAGGAGGTCCTCCGGATCCAGTCCCCGCCTATGGCTGACTGGCTCGAGCAATTCCTAACTAGTCGGCTGCATGTAATGGTGCGCTTTGGCATGTGGGAGGAGCTAAAACATAAAGAGCTACCCGCTGATCAAACTCTCTACTCTGGTACCACTGCCATGACGCACTACGCGCGAGGAGTCGCCTTCGCAGCCACCGGGGACGTCCCCACAGCTAGGAAAGAACAGGAACGGTTCCATCAGGCATGGAAGCGGGTTCCAGAAACCCGTCTCGCCTATAACGGGAAGCTTGTCGACGTGCTCCAGGTGGCTGCGGCCATGTTGGAGGGGGAGATCGAGTATCGGTGCGCGAACTACGATCAGGCCTTCGCTTCGCTGCGTCGTGCTATTGACATCGAGGATAAGTTGCCCTACAGTGAGCCGTGGTCGTGGATGCAGCCGTCTCGTCATGCGTACGCGGCTCTTCTGATGGAACAGGGCCATTTGGAGGAAGCGGCGCAGACGTATCGTGCGGATCTGGGGCTGGACAACACGCTTGTGCGTCAGTGCCGCCATCCTAACAACGTCTGGTCGCTGCAGGGGTATCATGAATGCTTAGTGCGGCTGGGAAAGATTGATGAAGCGGCTATGATTGAGCAGTCGGTTAAGTTGGCTCTTGCGGTGGCGGATATCCCCATCAAGGCGTCATGTTTCTGCAGACTGGATACTTCGCAGGCGCCGCAGGTTCTTGAAGGATGTTGTTCTAAGGAGTAATTGGGCTTATGAATGATTGACAAGGAATATTATGTATATGAGCATGCGCAATTTACATATCCAGACTGAGCAGTCTGATTCTGTGAAATACCAATTCGTCCTCTTACAATACTCAGACATTCCGTTCTTGCTCCAGTTCCAACCGGTGATCAACACAATCAACACCACATTACCCTAAAACCCAGGACAATCAAACGCCACCCTATACCAAGTGCACTGATAATCACCCTCCTTGCAGTCATCCCAAATACCTCCCGAGGGCATGCTGTACCCATACAATCCATCACTGTACGCAATCTCGTACTTGAGATAGCAGGATGGGTAGCCAAAAATATTCTCGATGTCCACAGTATACGGCAGCTGCGAAGCCATGGCGTCTCCCTGGGTGAAGTTCTCCATGTGGCCGATGATGTTGCATGAGTGATCGAAGATGTAGGCAGCACTCTTTTGTTGGTGGTAGCATTCTACTTCGGGATATAGCTGGTATACGGCGAATTGGCAGCTGCCTGCACCTTGCGGCTCGCAGAGTTTAGCCCCGGATGGGAAGTCGTCGCTATCGGAGGCGAGGGTGAGGGTTGGTATGAGGGAGAGGATGGTTGGGATTAATTTGGTGGGCTTCATTGTGATCTGCTTTTCTATTTTCGGTTTGTGGTTCAAGTGGTTCGATAAGGCAACTGAATTGAGGTAATCTCTGGGGTCTGATGGTTTAATGCATGTGGGAAACGTATCTGGAGATCAACACAAAAAGTGTGCCCCTGTCGCAACTTATAGACTCTCTTCATGCTCACTGGAGCGGCTGATCGAGAGGCTAGTGCAGGATCAGGCACCGCCCCGAATGTATGGGGATCGGCAGGCCTAGCCAGGAACTGGGGCCAAAGGGGCCAAGGAAGGGGGCCAAACGTGTGGAGGGAGCGGGTCAACCTTATGCCCCTCTGCGCAATAATTTTGCGAGGTGCTGAACATGAACATGTCCTCGGTGCATGTTGTTGTGAGCTTATCTTGGCCGAGGCGTGATGTGCAGGATTGTAACCCTCCACAGTTTGTGATGAACGACGCTCAGTGGTTGGGCCGAGGACGTTACCCTGGGTATGATGATACGGGGCCCGGGTCTGATGGAATTGCTGGGAAAGTCAATAGGCATAAAGCCTTGAAGAATGTCATGAATACAATTATTCTGGAGTTGAAGCGGTCCAGGTGAGAAATGGACATGCTTCGAGACAGCAGCCATTCATTCAGCAAATCGAACCATTATAAGAGAATTGGCCCCATACGAGGCTGTACTCTGCCGGACTTGACCGACGGCCAGAGTGTGGAGATACGGGGAGTTGAGAACACCCGACTGGTCTATCGCTTATTAGTCCGTGTTTTTCTAGGACCCTGGCGTTGATGTTCAGTGCTCTAAGGGTGACCAAGTGCATTGTCAGCGACTACATGACATATTCATGTGGGGATGTTTTCTCGCTGTCGAAATTAGGGAGGTGCTGTCACGGAAAAGATTTCCGCTGTGGTTGTTGTCCAGTCGGACAATGTGTTACCTGTATACTGTGTTTGAAAATGGCCATGTAATCGAAACGGCATAAAAAAGGAAAAAAAGACAAATCAAGCACACACGCCAATTGTTGGCGCTGCTGGGAATCGAACCCAGGTCGAAACGGCGCTGCGGAGAACCACAACGTTTCATGATGACCACTACACTACAGCACCTTGATCTGTGACAGGCGGCCGCCATTTTTAAATTACGTACCACACAATACCCGCAACCATTAAGCTCTTACTCGACTGCACACATCTGGAAGATCAGTAGTGTTAGTGATGCAGAAATTACGAGCTGTTGACTCTCGAAATCCAAGGATAGCGCTCTAATAATTACATTAAATACCAATGCACTGTTTATCTCTTCTTTACCTTTCTTCCCCGACGTTGTATGTCACTCTTCCGTGACATTGGGTGGGCTCACAGCTTGATCAATACTAAAAGCACCGATGAGGAAGGCCGTGATGAACCATGTCCTCAACCTGCTCATTTGCCAAAGGTGAGCAATTGCACTCCCTCCAGACGACAACATTGCCAAGATGATCCCTGTGCTAGTTGGATCATAGGGATAGTAGCCAGTAGACCCCATCGTGTTGCGAGTGGAGTATTAGACAGCGAGGTGTTGACAAAGAGTGATTCAAGTAGATCTAACCGAAATGCGAGTTACGGACGAAGAAAAACAGCAAGGCGTAGAGAGCGTCGTTTTATGTGCATCAGCGTGGCGAGTTAAGGAAGGAGAGGTTGTTGTCAATTCGCAGGTAAAGAAGGAAGATGGAAGAATTTGATAGGGGAAAGTCTACACTCTGAGAAAGCCAGATAAATATTCCTTAGCCATCCACCTTTTTCACAGGCCTGTACAAGAATATCACTGTGAACCATTATTGCTTGCCTACCATGCTGCGAGTGAGTATGCTCTTTGATGTTCGGAGGGCTTATGGAGCGGGAGGAAGTACGTGGCAAGAGCAACATCTGGATCGCTCTCCCAAAGCAGCCCAAGATTAGGGTATCCACAAGGTCTGGCCACCCCCCTACGGATATGGATAGTATCATAGGTTGGAAATCACGCAGGAGTTGTAACAGGATGGCCTACTGCTCTCTTCTCTGATTCTAGGAAGACTACATCCGGTGCCATATTTATTACGCCGAACAGAAATTGGTCTCATGATGATTGTCGAAGAGTCAATGTCTTCTGTTCTTAATGCTATGCCTTATCCGAAGCAGCTAAGTGTTTTTAAATTATGGTCAAACAGGATCAACCACCTGATATTGGCTTTCCTGCATATCCTCTACAAGAGACCCTTCAATCCGCTTGACTTTTCGTCCCTCCCACCATGACATCACCCCAGCCAAAAGGGAGCTGAAACAACCTAGGCCAATGAAAAGGCCGACTCCATAGCTTGGGCGATTGTGCCGGTCATAGCACCACATAAAAGCCGCCATGCCTACCTGGAAGAGAGTGTTCAATAGCAAATTGATGATGACGAAGTCCATTTTCCATTCGCTGGTAGGCGGCGCAACCTTACCGGTCAGCGTCGTTTGGAAGGTCAATTCGTCAGAGTCGAAGGTCTGCAATCTGAACCAGTTTGCATGTCGCTTTGCAAGTTTCTCTATTGACTGTCTCGATCTTACGCCGGTGCGCAGGCGCCATTCGAGTAGCCAATATGTGTCGCGAATTCGCCATGGTGCCAGACCCCACGAGGTCAAGCAGAATAAGCCATTCAGGATCTGCGAATCTATTTCAATCCATACTTCTTTCTTCTCCTTACTCATGGATCCCACGTTCAACAAGAGAAAGAATAGCATAGCACCCCAAGCAATTACGTTAAGGCCATAAAGAGCTATGAACAAGCCCGTAGGTGTGCAGAGGAATCTCCAAGCCACAAGCGACATTCTTTTGCATGTGTCGCCCCATGAAATTGCTCCCGCAGGAACATCTGCAAAATGATTGCTATTGGGGGGAGCTCCGAGAGAAAGCTCTTGGTCCTCTACTTCCAAAGGGCCAGAACTAATCGTGGGGGCTGTCGCTCTTCGTGGAAGTGGGCCGTCAATCGTAGGTTGAGTGTTCCTTCGACGTACACAGCGAGCGTGGAAATCAAATGCCACCTCGTCGGATGATCTCAGATCCGCGAAATTTGGGGCGTGCGCGATAGCGGTTCCTGTGGCTTGCCAAACTCCCGCTGCAGGATTGAAATCAAGCAGCCTTACGGCAGAAGAAATTGAGGCGGAGCGCACTGTGCGCCCTGCCCGGAATAGAGGCATTGTCGACCGGCCTTGCCTGTCCACTGCAGCCAATTGATCATCGGCCATTGTACCCAGTGTAGGTCGCCGGAATGAAGTTGGTGTGGCCATTTGAACATAGCCCAAATACCCAACAGGGTATTTAAGCATTTCATAAACAGGAGCCAAGAAAAACCACAATCTGCGGGTCCACCGTGGATTTCACCCAGAAAGCATACTTGGAGTTGGGACAGCCCACAGGGCAATTCACCCAGCAATCGGACTAGGGGAACGCTAAAAATATCCACCTATCATACAGGTCAGATAAACTCTGTCGGTGAAGGAGTCTACTTATTTCATCTCTACATTATGGTGATGCTTGCCTTGCCGCACTCAGGAAACATGGGATACAAAGGATTTAAGGGGTCCTTTTTGTTACCTTCTTTCTCGGGTTAGCTTGACAACGATAGATGAGAGAATTAGACTAGAACGTTGAAAAAAATGAAAAAAAAAAAAAAAAAAAAAAAAAAAAAAAAAAAAAAAAAAATAGAGAAAAGTCTGCTATATCCCTATTGCCAAGCATGATTTGCCGCTCTTCAGGAGTACCAACTTTGCCAGGGTTTCTGCAGTTAAACTGTGATTGAATGGACAAGAGGCTGTATTGAGAATAGAGTTGAAATCCGGTCATTCGTTATGGAAAGGCCTACTAAAGTAGCGGATCCAGATTAGGTCTCGTTCGCTATAGACAATCGGAGACGCTGAATGCGCGGATCGTAACCGCAGTGGGGACTGGACACCCGAATATACGTATAGAAGATGTTCCGATAGGGCCTGCTTGATGGTGGGGAACGGCCGCAGTGGATTTGTCGCGAGATCCCTGGGTCCTATTTAACCTATCCGTCGAATGTTAAACTACTTAAGTGTCTTAAGTCGTGGCAGTAGCGTTCCCGCTGACGTTCGTTCTCGCTTTCATCTCCTTTTTTGGGATTTGATATTCTCTGTCTAGTAGTAACTTTTATTTACATTTCTCAGAGTTGATGGTGGCAGTGATCATTGTCTACGTGTGTCACAAACCACACTTAGGCGTAACATCGGACAAACAACCTGAATGGGCCATTCCCACCACATTCCGGACATAATCCCTCATTTAATAGTGATCCAGACCCCCTTTGGTCGCTCAGGCTTCATTGTTCCTGTGTCACAGTCCTCTTTTCCGGTTACTCACCTATTGGGCCTGCCAAACACCCATTATCGCCTTCAGCTGACTTCACCACTTCTGTTACTCATGCCATCAACGTGCCCTCGAGCGCTTGGCAGGCTAGTGGAAAGATCTCTCCAACCTGCGAATGGGAACTAATTCCATCATCCTTAGGCGGTCACTCGACTCTTTGACTAATGGCCTGTGGACCGAGGACCGGTCACGTGCTAGAAAGCAACCATGATAGTTTCGAAATAAACAATCTAATCTTGACTGTCCCTAGACAAAGCTTGACACTGAATTAACGTCTACGTACGTTACTACTACTATTGTCACGGCCCACAATAGACCCCCTCGTCCATCTCATCCATGTCCTCCCACGAATTCCTCATCTCCTCGCCATCGCCCATCATCTTCCACAGATCCCACAATGCTCGGGGCGAACACTTCATCCACCCCGGGAAACTATCATACTCGTCCACAGTCGGCCACGCCTCGAGAACCTTCAAAAACCGCGTCGATTCGTGGACGTGCGTGGGTCCCTCCGCCTCCAGGCCCTCCACCGATGCATCCGGAAGCGTGAGCAGGGACTCCTCGTCAATGACGATGCACATTCGATCCGAGTTGAAAAGGTCGCGTCGGTCCTGGTTTTCCACAGAGGCCTCGAAGTGATCCCGGACTGACTCGATCGAGGCCCCCGTGAACCGCGCCGCATCTTCAATGACGGTGGACTGATATCTGGCCCAGATGCCCTCATAGATGGCGGGGTCGACTCCGGAGGAATCCTAGCTGTAGGAGGCACACTCGGAGAAGAGCGATTTCTTGATACAGGCATCGAGGTAGCGGAGTATGGTGGGGAATGCGGCGTCCGCCTGCGTTGAGAATGTGGTACGGTAGATTGTGTATCCCCAGTGCTGCTCGGTTTGGAGTCTGTTGTGCAACTCTGCAGTGGATCCTAGCGGCAGTGCGAATGTCATTTTGAGTGTAAATAGGGAAAAGGAAAAGGTAAGCTTTGAAACGGGAGGAAAGGGGAAGAAGAATCCAAGATAGTTCACCGGACTACCTTGGCCGCTGCCGCTGTCTCGTTCCCCGGATCCTGGCTCCAGCGTACTAGAACTTTACCTGCACCCCGCAGGAGTTGTCGGACACTATGTGGCAGGAAAAACCTTCTGGTCAGGAATAGCATTTAAATGATGGAATAAAAAAGATCAAAAACATACAACAGAAGGGATTCGCTGGTGGTCACCCACCCAACTACTAACCTCCCGGCGTGTGGCTTAAGTACGGCTGAGCGGACGGGAAGCCCTGTTTTCCACACCCTGTGGTCGTATGTGCTTCTTCTATCTTTGAGAGAAATTCTTATAGTACGACTTGAAGTATATTCGTTGAATGGGAGGATATTGTCCATTCCTGGTAGTGTAGGATTGTCAAACATTGACAGAACAACTACCGTGATCATCTGTGTCCATCACTCGTCGCAGAAAGAAGATAAAAATACCACACTGAATGAGGCACCGTACCTCCGCCGATACAGAAAGCTAACAAAAACTTGAAGCTGGACAACTCCATAGTAACTGTAAGAACGTTTTAAACTTGGGTTCTTGGTCTGATCGAGACTAGAGCTCATATATATAGGAGATGGGAGACAAGAAGAAGAAACCGCGCTTTACATCATGCAATGTAATGGCTTACTAGCGTGAAGAGACGAAGCAACAGTCACAGTCTAGGAGTTTCATGAATGAACTTCTTCAATAGTATCATGGAAACAAACAACCCAGCTAGATCCACAATCAACCACCATGCAACTACTACCAGACCTGCTGTAATATAGGGGTAAATGTAACACCAGCGGCCGTGCATGCTTGTATCAAAGAATCCACTGGCTTGTTCCCTACATCTTCAGCTTCGATTATGAGTTCTTCGAGCCGAGGAAGCCAGTCCCGCCTCTGCACCACATCTAACAGCTCCGACAGAAGACTACGATCATCCTCCTCGACAACATGCCCAATCTTCAGTCGCTGAATAGAGACAGGAGGTGCTCTAAGGAGTCGTGTGTGGTGTTGCACTGCCCTACCATGCAAGGCCAGTCGGAGCAGATGGGCATGTCGGACGGCAAGATCCTGGAGAATGGTGAATTCCTGCAGAGAACCAATGGTCCACTCTCATCAACCATATCACCCCCCTCTCTGGCAAGCATCTTTGTTGCTCCGAAATGAAACGTCTTCAGTGTCCATCGGAAACGAATGAGGTGCCGGCAGATTTACAAAGCATGAAACCGACGGTTTCCCGGGTTCATCATCCCGACGCAAGGCTAGCGTGATCGTCGGGTGTTCTAGCTGAGTGCACGCATAGAGCCGGTCAAACAGCCTTTTGGTTCACTAGACTTTATCAGCAGTGTTCTTACGGACGGGACGAGCTGACCGGGTTGTCACGAGTGGAGAATTCCCCGTAGTTGCCTGCCTGGCTCTTTCCCTCCCGACACACAGTCTCATCTTCCCTGCTAGAATATCATTCATAATCTGTCACATCATTCACTTATCAGACTCCAGACTCTTTGTTATATTATCGATTCATTCTGATCATTATTATTCTACCTACGTGGAATTATGTTGAGACATCCACTGCAGCCAGACAGCTGTCAGCTGATTCTTAATCTTTTCTTTCTGCGTGGTCTCTGACCACTACCTCTTCTAACAACCAACCACACTCTTGAGATTATATATCTTTGACCCTTCGTCTTGACAAATTACGATAACGCGAATACGTGTCTGAGTGCGCCAGCGGCGATCCATCTTCCACCAGACCGAGTGGCATATTATATTACAGACCGTTGATGTGCCTTTGCTCCATATTACTTTCTTCTGCCCTCATTCTACTCATCAACGAACTTAACCAATTAAATGAGAACGGCTGGACCTAAGCTCTCGTTGGAAGAACGGCGGAGAGATGAGATTATGCTCTTTCTCCCCTGTTCAGGCCTTAGAGTCCCTCGACCCAGGTATCTTCATGGCTGGTCAGGAATATTGTGTAGCCGGCAGTCTTTCGTCAAGGGGGCCAACTGTGAGCTTCTCGTCTCTCACCACTTCCACTCCCACCATCACCATTTCAACATTTCCCACTCTGTTCATGATTTCTCTCTCTCCTCCTTCTTCTCCTCCTTTGGTCCCATACCAGCCCCAACAAACGGGCACTGCCACCAACTGCGACCGATATTACCTCGCTGAAACTGGTGACACGTGCGGCAAGATCGAAGCCCAATTCGACGTCAGCACAAGCGACTGGAATCCAGGTGTGGCGTGTGTGTTATCATGGCGTCATGCATAAGTAGTAATGGAAATAACAGCAGCGACCGACACCCAGTGGGCCGGTTGGAGGAGTGATGGTATCAGGTCAACACGAAATTCACTCTATAAGTGCCTCGCTATGATGGGAACCACAGATTGGGCTACCGGCCTGCAAAAGAACAAGGCAATTCCTGGCCTTTGATTACGGTTGATTGAGAAAAACTATCACATTGAGGGAGCTGTGGCTACGAAGATACAGTCTCTTTTGTTAGACGACCGTCGTGAATGCAGAATGTCTGTCTGATAAATCCATTGTACTCTAGACAACATCCGCCACTTTAGGTATTGCAATTTCTTTGTCTCGAAGATTTATCTTTTCAGCATCGCCCTTGCTCTCCACCCCTTAGCTTATTACTGACGCTTTAAAATTACACTCTCGTTCTAATTTATATCTTTTGTTATCACATCCAGTCCGCTAGTGATTCCTCTATCCAATGTCTTCAGCGGTCGTTACCACGGCGTAAGCATGCCTATTCCTAACTCAGATCAAAGAAGTAGCCACCAAATTGCTGAGAGATATCCTGACCCAGGTCTTCCATGACTTGACAGGATCAGAATTAGACAGCTCAAAGTTAATTGTGGCCTAGTCCGGCATGCTCTGCTACGGTGCCGGCGGCTATTGTTTACTATCCAAAGCCCCACCGCACCTGATGCCTCTTAGGCCTCGTTAATTCTATAGACTACAGAGTCCTCGTACGGATCGGAAGGCATCTTCGGGGCTTTTCACGACGTATCATGTTCCGCTACCCAGTCTTTCACGGAACCTGGTCAAGAAATGACTTTCTTCGCCAATACAACGCACAGCAAAAATTGCGCCATTCCTACAATTAGGTGTCAGGTAAACAGATCAGAATCCACACTCTTACCACTCTAGAAGCGATCAGGCTCTCATCTGCTGACAGACTGCTGGTCCATCAGGTGACTTGTATTGATTTCCCCGCGTTTTCCGGCCCCATCCCAATTAGGCAATACAGCAGCCGATCCCTCCTTCACCGTCAGCCGCAAACGATGATGACTGCTACAATTCTTCAATCCCAATCAGTGCATCGTCTTGAAAGCACAGCTTATTGGGTGTGACTGAGCACCATTGGTCACCTTAACAATTCATTTTTCACAGATTCAGAGCTCTTAGACACTCGTCGATCAATAACCAAAGAGTAATTCGCTTCTAGAAGCCTGTGATCACCCTTCATGATCCCCCAACGACCCTGAAGATCCCGATAATCTCATCAAACCTCGGATACCCAGTAAGGCGAACCACGGACCATCCCAAATTGTGTGCGTCGATCCTCAAAGGGTGAAATTTGACTTCCCATTTATCAGACCACATCACCCAGCCATGAAGGCCTGGCAAACCAACTATTACTACCTGCGTGCCTGCGGGCGGCGATCATCATCAAACGCCTGGAGTGTCGCCCAACGACCATCCTCACTAAGAGTCAGGGGGGGATATCAACATCGAGCAAACTATGCAACTAATCCGCAACACCCCCCGAGGCAGCAGTCGACCACGTTGCCCATCCTGGGGACGATTGTCGCTACTGCGGCTGTCACGCTCCTTGCGTCTGAGGCTTGGCGCGGAAGGACGGCCAACAGACCCGAAGATGCTATTAGAGATGTGCAGTCCGGATCAAAATATGCGGATGTTCCGACGATGCTTCGGGTATGTAGCAGAATCACAGCTGAACGAAGAAAAAAGTATTAATCGCGAGACTCAGGCCGTCGAGGAGATTAAGACAATTATCAGACCCGATAATGTAAGCGTGGACGCCGACGACATTGAACTTCACGGATACTCCGAATGGTCCACGTCCAACACCACCGCACGACCAATTGCAGTCCTTAGTCCAGCCACCACGGAGGAAGTATCCGCGATCGCTAAAATATGCACCAAGTACAAGGTTCCTATGGTGCCGTTCGGCGCCGGATCAAGCGTCGAAGGGAACTTCGCTGCTCCCCACTCGGGTGTTTGTATCGACCTGTCACGGATGAACAAAGTCATTGAGCTGTACGATCAGGACATGAATGTGACGGTTCAAGCAGGTGTGCGATGGACCGATCTAAACGAGGAGATCAAGTCTACTGGGCTGTTCCTACCCATGGACCCCAGCCCTACTGCGTATGTGGGAGGAATGGTCGCGACCAATTGCAGTGGCACGAATGCTATGCGCTACGGGACGATGAAGGACTGGGTGGTTAATCTCACTGTCGTGCTTCCGGATGGTACAGTGATCAAGACGAAACGGCGACCGCGCAAGTCTTCTGCTGGGTATAATCTGAATGCACTCTTTACTGGATCCGAAGGGACACTGGGGATCATCACGGAGGCTACGCTCAAACTTGCGATCATTCCTGAGGACAGTAGTGTTGGGATTGCCACATTTCCCACGTTCGGTGACGCAACGGCCGCAGCATCGAAGTTGATCCGTGATGGGGTTCCCCTCGCTGCGTTGGAATTCATGGACGACGTGCAGATGAAGATCATCAACCAGAACGGTGGTGCAGGTGGAAGATTCTGGTCCGAAGCGCCGACACTCTTCTTGAAGTAAGATCAATATTGGCTGGTATTGCAATAGTCCGCTGATAGTCAAGGTTCACCGGATCCCGCCCCGCGATTGACGACAGCGTCCAACGCACCAAATCCATCCTAACCAACAACAAGGGCAATGAGCTAGTGTTCGCAAAGTCCCGAGAGGAAGGTGATAACTTGTGGTCTGCGAGGAAGCAGTCCCTCTGGGCCATGCTGGCTGTGAGACCCGAAGGAACCGAAATCTGGTCTACGGATGTGGCTGTACCGATCTCGCGACTGGCTGAGATCGTTGGTAGGTGGACAACGAGCAGGATTATCGATCAACAAGTATTGACGTGATCTCCAGAGCTATCAAAAGCCGAGTCCAGTGATCTGGGCCTGTTCTCCACGGTTCTAGGACATGTCGGAGACGGCAACTTCCACCAAGCCGTGATGTACAATCCCCAGAGTCCCGAGCAATATCAGGCTGTCAAGGCGTGTGTCTCGAGAATGATGAAACGGGCGCTTGAAATGGAGGGAACGATTTCTGTAAGTGTTATCATTCCTAATTCGTCTTCGAACGGGTGTCTGACTGTAACAGGGCGAACATGGCATCGGATTAGGAAAGAAGGTCAGTAATCTTTTACTCCAGCATATCACATCCCCAACGCTAACATGCACCAGGCCTATCTCGAGGAGGAACTCGGTACACCGACGATGCAACTAATGAGAGGACTGAAACGCAGCGTTGATCCTCAGTAAGGTTACCTGTGTTGCCCATCTGACAATTGCTTACTAATCAATTCTAGCTGGCTCATGAACCCCGGAAAGGTCTTTGACGAGCACTATGAAGGATAGAATCGTATATTCCCAGTTTGGGGCTCAATGTACACCCCAAAACATGATGGCATGATCTTGAGGCTGCAGTAAACACCTCGGCACAAGTCTAGGTGACAGTGTAGGTTTCAAGAGATCCGTGTGGATCGATCCACACCTGATTGCTAAGCAGAATGGAGCGATATTGATTACATACGATCCTCATAGTCTACCTCATCGATGAATCTACGTAGCAACCTCCAGGCCAGTAGTAGTAAATGCATGCGCATTGCAACTGACTGGTGACAGATCAGGCCAACCACGGGTTGCCCCGGGCAGCCATTTCCGCATATAGTTTAGTTTCCGCTCAGCAATTAGCACATCCCACCCCCACCGCGCCAAGGCAGCGAGAATTACAACCAGATGAAGTTCTACAGGCGGAATCTAATCCTAAACCGGCAGGCAAAGTTGGCGGCTAGGTGTTTGAAAATCATAATCCATTCCCATTATCTTAATACACAACTCTCACTGCACAGCTCCCCTATCTAAGGAGTCTCCGCAACATTGTAGACCAGTTTCTCACCACTGACCTTATCAGCCTTGAGCAGCTGCAACCCCTCCAACACACCCTTCAATCCCTCCCCACGCACGCTAGGCCGATGCACCTTGATCTTGCCCTCGGCCAACAACTTCTGCGCAATATCCCAGAACTTCGCAGCAAACTCCTTATCCTCGGGCTTCGCGGGGAACGGCGTCTCACCAAACATGAACTCCTCACCCACAGCAGTATACGCCAGGGTCCAGCGATCATTGACATTGGCACGCTCAATCCCCACAGCCAAAAGCGCACTGTACTCACCACCCTCGGTAGAAATAGCCTCATCACAGAACTTGGCACTAGCCTCCAAGGAAATCGTATCCAGCACCAACTTCAACTTGTTATCCGTAGCCTTCCGGATCTCCGCAGCCGCATTCGGCGCATTGTAATCAAACACCTCATCGGCACCCAGACTCTTCACCAGGTCGAAGTTCCGCGGCGAGCACGTAGTCAGCACCTTGTATCCAGACAACTTGGCGAACTGGATCGCCAGGGTTCCTGTCGCCGTCGAGCCACCGTAGATGAGGATCGGGCCTGCGTTGCCTCCCTTGGCAGGCTCGGTAGGCAGCTCCAGCTTCAGACTCTGGTACAGGGCCTGTCCGACGGTCGTGATACCCACGCCGAGCGTGGCGGCGTCCTGGAAGCTGAGGTTATCCGGGATGTGCATCTGGATGTCGCCCTTGGCGACGATGTATTCGGCAAAGGTGCCGTCTTCGGGCTGCACGGCGTTGGCGCCGTGGACGAATCCGCAAACCCGGTCACCCTTCTTGAACGGCTTCTTGACGGCCGGACCGACTTCCTCCACGATACCGGCATAGTCGCAGCCGACGAGGACGCCGGTAGGAGCCAGGAACTCGATGTGCTTCCAGTCGGTGGGGTTCAGGGCCACGCTGACGGTCTTGATGAGGATGTAGTCGTCGCGGAGCTTGGGGATGGGGCGGTCGGTGACCAGGTCGCCCTTCTTAGGGGCGGTGACGGCGATGGCTTTTTGGGGCATGGTGGTGGATGTGGTGTGGGTTGCTTGGTTTGATTGAGTGAGTATGAGGAAATTTTGTAGTGAGGGAGGAGGGGAGGGGATATCCTATATATGCATTTCTAGTATCAGCAGTCAGAAGCACCAAGAAGGCGGTGGAATGGAAGTGGCTGAATGTTACACCCCTCCTCACCCTCCTTTTGTTTGTCGATGACAAATGCAACTTGTGAGATCATCGTGTGTTTTTGTCTTCTCCACTTGGGCCCACTGGCTCCCGAGAGGGACGCCGTTGGTTCTACTCTGGATGGGAGCCAGCCCATTAGGTTGTTGCCAGTAGCCCGGAACCGGAATTAGCAAACTCTAATGCTGCAAAGTAGTACTTCTGCGGTTGATAGTTGATGTGCCGGTGCTCTTGGGGAAGGAACAGGTTATCGTGTTGATTTAGCGATAGTGTGTATAGTATACGCATTCCCTACTGGTTAGGTGGCATCAATCCCAGGAGGGCGTCGATCGAGCTGCCGAGACTATCTTATCGTGGCTAATACTAGTGTGCAATTGAGTGCTGACTGCTGGAAGGAAGATTCCTTTGTCAGGGCCAATGGACTCAACTAGACTGTTGGGGTATCATTGAGTTTTAGCCTATTTTTCCGAAAGGGGTTTAGATCCCGCTCCGCGCAGATATGCAATCCCGGAGATCCTCCCCAGGACACTAGCAGTAAGCACTGCAATGTAGGATGATCGCAGGATCAAAGGGTCCAGAAATTTCCATTCTGCTGACATATTCACTTTGAGGGATTTCTTTGCGTAAATCTGTAACTTGCTGATTAATGGACATCTTGGTTCTCCTCGAGGAGAGTATTCTACGAAGTGGTTGAGGGGCATTTCGAATTTCCGGGAATTAGTAGATAGCACTACTAGATACATAGGTCTCTTTCTCTTCTATCATCATACTAGATAATCTCACAGCTTAGCAAGATGCAGGTCACTCACATTGTCCTACTCCAATTCAACCCCGACGTTACTCCCGAGGTTAGGGAGAATGTGCGTTTGTCCTACACCTCTTACCACACCTTATACCGCCAGATCCTAGACATCTAACTCGATCCTCGTATAGGTCGCAGCCCAGGTCAGGGACCTGCGCGAATCATGCATCCACCCGGAAACTGGCAAGCCGTACATCGTTTCCATGAAGGCCGGCGCTGATGTCTCGATCGAGGGGCTGCAGGTGCGTTTACTTCCTAGCTTCTGATCCTATGACTGGTAAACATAACTTCTAACCTTGTCTGAATAGAACGGCATCAGCCATGCATTCGTCTCCGTTTTCGAAAACACCGCGGATCGCGACTACTTTGTGAACAAGGATCCGGCGCACATTGCGCTTGTGCAGAATGTCAAGCATTATCTGGCTAAGGTTCAGGTCGTGGATTTTGTTGATGGGAAGCTTGTTTAAGTGTATTCTATTGTTGTTTCGATGGTTCGATGGCTTTGAGTCGTACTATACAAAGTTTGTGCAGGAGTAATCGGTGTAGTTACTATCGAGATCAGCGCCATGTACAAGCAAGAATATATATAAACCTGGTGAGGTATAGTGGGTCGAAACGGGCAAAACAAAATGCGAGTGAATTAGCAGGAACAGACAATGATACAAGTGCTCCTAAAATACCGAGCACAAAACCAGACATATTAAAGCACATCAAAGCGCCCTATAACCGTTTCTAAGGCGAAAGATGCCCGATGCTTGACCGCAATGACAACGAAGGGGTGTGAGATGACATAGTAATACAACGTCCTTCATAATCGAGAATGTAGCGGCAGATTAATAATAAGCCCTTGTAGCTCAGTGGTAGAGCGCTTCACTCGTATCATGTCATGAAGAGGTCCGCGGTTCAATCCCGCGTGGGGGCATTTCTTTTTTCATTTTCCCGGGTAGCCAGAGCCTCCTTTTAGGTTTTGTTTTTGTGTAACGGGTAGTGTCAGCCACGCTAAGGGAAGAAGTAAGGCGGTGGCAAATACATATCCGCCCTTATAGCTCAGTGGTAGAGCGCTTGACTTGTAATCAAGAGGTCTGTAGTTCAATCCTGCATGGGGGCATCGGATATTTTTTTTCTTTTTACTTTCTTGCTTCCTTCATTTTTTCATTCCTTCTTCTACTCACTGCATTTGATGTTTTAAATAATCACGCCACATAATAGGATCAATCAACATTCATTTAGTTTTCCTTCTCTCTTTTTCTTCTACCTCGCCATACGGTTCCGACGAATGCTAGAAACTCCAATACAGTAAATATCAATAAAGCGTCACAGCAGTCTATGTGTATCCCCTGTTGCTATACAACCGCTCCATCAAACGGCCGGGTACACAGTGGGCAGCAACGTGCACTCTGGATGCAGCTCCGACAGTAAGTCACGGTGTCTTTTGACGCTCCACCCTCCCCAGCTATCCCCGGACAGTCCCTGCACTGTGCTCTCTTTCCCAGGGTCTGTGTATCCAAGCAAACATCGCAATGCTCATAGAATGGCGCCTGCGGCAGTATGTAGCGGACAAACGGGAGAGTGCTTACATGGACTAGATCCTCCTCAGGTAAGCCGGCTTTGGCTTTCAGAAGATCGGTGATCCTGTCCCAGGCCCCTGCATCAGTTATTCCTGGCATGTAAAAGGGATTGTATCTGGTATCGTTAAGGTATATTTTTCTTCGATATGACTCCTGAAGCGGAGTAAAGCCCAATTTATCTTCAATATGGGGTTCAATGTTGGGAATCTCAAGCAGCATTTCCACCATTTTAACCTGACCCATGCAAATGGCTGCGAATAGGGGTGTTCGTCCGAATATGTCTCTGGGGTTGGGGTCGCATCCGGTCTTCAAGATGCGCTGCACGAGACTAATGTCGCCTCGCGATGCTGCCCAGTGCAATGGTAGGCGGTGGAATTCGTCTCGAAAGCCGGGACTACACGATTCTCTGAGGATTGCTTCCATCGCATCGTCATCTCCTTCCACTTCAGCCTTTGTCAAACAGGATAGCCCCCAGAAATATGGGGAGACGTCTGTGTCCCTCATACATCTGGGAGAGCCTGCACCGTTTACAAGGAGAAGCCTGGTTATCTCGACGTGCCCCCTTTGCGCGGCAGCAGTCAGGGGGTCTGCTACATGGTGTTTCCATTTATCGGTGCTGCTTATCCTGGCACCCCACTCGAGTAACAGTTCAACAGCACGCAGGTTGCCATTTGCCGCAGCTATAAACAAGGGGGTTTCCCATCGCTTATTCTCTCGATTGATATCGGCGCTTGCATCTCGTAGAACTTTCATCACCTGTGCATGATCGCCCATGTTGACGAGGGATATAGGACCGACTCGAATTCCAGCGCCGCTCTTCGCGGCAAAGAATATAGGAGTTTCTTTGTTTTCAGTCTCATAATGAACGTTCGCACCTCTGCCAATTAGCAGCCTGGCCACTTCATGGTGACCATATGCTGCGGCGTAGAAGAGAGGCGTAAAGTTCTCGGCTGTAGCAGAGTCGACAATGGCTCCATGGTCGAGTAGGAACTCGACCACTGCGCTATTACCAAACCCTGCAGCCCAGGTGAGGGGTGTGCGACCAAGGTAGTCCCGAGTATTTACAAAGTTGCTCTCAGGGCCAACAAGTTCTTCCATGCACTGATCTAGGCCAAAAAGCGACGCAAGGTGGATCCCTGAAAGTCCGTATGCAGTATCTGACAGGCCGAACATTTCTCGCATACACCGTGAAACCTTGACATCATTCTTGATGAATGAAGCGAGAAGCGTGTTGCTGCCCAGGCTCTGGCGGAGATGGTTCCCTAGCTCAGTAGCGGCATACTGATAAAACGGGTACTCCTGTCGATGCTCTTGACAACCACTTTCTAACAAGGTTTTCGGATCAAAGGCGTCGAAGGACACGTACGTGAGGCAAGTGTCAGTGAGGTATTCATGAACTGTTGGATACCAAGCCTTCCACGTCCGCTTCAAGTACTCCTGGGCAGTAAGATGCACCAGCTTAGCCGTGTTGCTGCTTTTGTCAACCGTGATCAAGCCGCAGCAGGCAGAAACTATCTCTTCGATGTCCGTGACATTCATTTTGTCAAAATCGGGCTCACCAATCTCAACCGCAATAGCATGTTGTAGCTCTAGAGCGCTAAGTGGCCGTGCAGAGAAGGTGATCCACCCAAGCACTCTTTTGGCAAGGTCTTGAGAGAAGGAGCTTTGCAGGCTAATCCTTTTCAATGTCTCCTCGTATGCATGGTCGTAAGCCCCCGAGCCCGACTGAAACTTACTTCCAAGTGCTCGGACTCTCCTTTCATTCTTCTCATCCAGGATTAAGTTGTAATAGAGACGCACGAGCAGGAATCTGCATGAGTCAGTAACATTTCGATATCCCGGAACTATGTCACTTACATTCCATCAGCGGATTCAAGAATTTGGTTTCGAATATAGCCCCAGAGCTCAGGTTTCCTTCGAAGAAAACCCGGGAGATAGTCGAGGTTCCCGTCGAGGAAGCTTTCCATGTCGTCTCTGTTGGCTTGGACCTCCAAAGTAATACCCCTAGACGATAGAGTTCCAAAATAATCGCCGGGTCGGGCAGTCGCGAGGAGTTTAACCTTCGTACGACCACCAAGGTCAAGGAGGTTTCTAGTCCAGGCAAGAAATTGACGCCTCACATATACGTCGTTGCACTCATCCAGTGCATCAACAACCAACAGCACTTCACTGCATTCAGACAACACCACATCGAAAACCTTTTTGATATTTTCTTTGGTCAAACGGGTAGACCTGGGTGGGAGAAGGTAGCGTCTTTTGGTGATAGTCTCATACAAGCGTTGATTTCCCTGAAGTAACTGTCTTAGGAGGCTTGACAGAAGCTCGGTGAATTCGAGACGTTCCTGGTAATTGAAATAATGATAAGCAACCGCGACGCTGCTATTGTGGGCAAGCTCTTGCTGGAAATGGTCGACTGCGATCGAAGAAAGCATCGTTTTGCCAGCGCCAGGAGCCCCGGTGCAGAGAAGAACCTTGCTCTTTTCATCAGAGATCCAACAACGGAATTCTTCACTTTCAAGGAACCATTCACCCGTGCCTTCGCGCCGAGAGCTCAGAATTCTGTGCTTTTGTTCCGAGACGTCAACAGGACAAATCCAAGCAAGCGTCTCATTGCGCTGCTGCATGTCGTGGTGGCCCTTCATGGACTGAATGCCTGCCCCAATCTCCAAGGTGAGATCTCTATTGGACCAACATCAGCACTGATTATCTTGAAGCATACCGGATGAAAACTCCGATCGAGCATTAGTAAAGCCAAGAAAAGATGTCGTTCATACTGATTGATTTTACCCATGACTAAATTCCACAGCGAGAGACAATAAGTGATGCGACTCCGCATGCTGTCCACCTCTGCAGGGTCCCATTTCACTCGACTCCATGCTCGGACGGCCTTTGTCTTCCAGTCCGAAGTTGCAAAGGCAAGGACATTGTATTTGCTCAACTTGTGTTCAATCTCCAACAGGACTTCGCGGCCTCGCTGGACGATTATATCCAATTCCATTTTCTGGGTCGTACTGAGGCCTTCGTTGGGAATATCATTGAGATCATGAAGAAGCGCCCATAGGCTTTTTACACTATTGATGATGGTGAGCACCGCTTAAGAAGATAACGTGCGGTTACGTACTTACTCTCCGGAGATAGCCTTGAAGCCACTCGGTGCCTGGGCGAACCGCTTCTTTAAGTCATCGGCGAGTTGCAAAGTAGCCAGGAAATCACCGACACCAAAGCCGAAGCTCATCTTGAACAAGCAAGTCAAATTACTCGAGCTCGTGTGTGTTGATGGAACGCAGTCACAGGAAGGATGCTGGAATTTAATCAGGATGCGACAGAATGCGACCGAGCTGGAGGTGGCTGTGTTCAAGGGGGCTTAGCGCTTATGCTTGACGGATTTCGGTTACAGTCAGGGAAACTGCGGGGCCGTCATGTAATACCAAAAGGAAGTTAAGTCCTACAGGAAGATGATATTTGAGTGTAAGTCGATGCTGGGTATGTAGTGATCACAGCTTGACAGATTCCTCATTTTGACGATGTTGGAAGGAAAGGGTAGGAGGGGTTATATGATGATCGCTGCGAGGCTGAAACACGGCCTTATCACCCGATCGTTTAACCTCGCATTAGACTGAGATGGCATAAGCAAATACTGTCTGCTAGTAGCCATACAAAATATTCTGTGCGCCACACCAGATTATGCTCCCCATTGGTTTTGCTTGCTGCCCCTTGACAGCCAACTGTTAGTCCATGGAACCGACAAACAGCAACGCACAGATACTTTGCAATTATTTGCCGACTTTTGTGTTAGAATAATGCGAAGTAGAGAGTAGATCCAGGAACGCAAAGAAAAGCCGGTTCCTGACCACTGATCACTCCGATTAATCTTGATGGTGTTTCATCGCATGGGTCGAGGAATTAGCCGATGTGATAAAGGGGTACTATGTAGAACCTCATAAGGACGATAGTCGGCAGTATATTTCCTGGCAATATCTACACCATATGATATAAATGCTGAAGTAGTTACCTCATGATGAGTAGTATATGATGATCGGGGTGACTCATTAAGCCTCAATTTGCCTATTCTCACCTCTTCATTCCCATCACACACACCCACCGACCACACCAAACCCAGCCAATCTATCAACCCACAAAGCAACTTACAACCTGTCTACTATACTCTTCACCGAAGTAGACAACCATTTCAGCTACCGAACACTATATACTCACACCTTTCAAATGGACAGATCTCCGTTGGGACAGCTGGGAAAGCTGCCCTACGAAATCCGACTGGAGATCTACGAGAAACTGTTTACGATCAAGAATTCACCTTTGAAGATCCTGCGCTGCTCGCGAGCAATCTACGGGGAAATAACCGATCGCCTCTATGACACACTCAACATACATCTATCTCCGGTGTTCAATGACCCCTGGATCGAGATTCACTGCAAGCGACTGCGATTGCGCTGGATCATACCCAATCATTCCTTTCCTTGCCAACATCGGTTCGCACGCGCCCCATACTACAAGATGAACTTGGTGGTTCATATTTACGCACCCGACCCAAGAGACCCAGGCCAAATAGCCCTGCTATGGCAAAAGGTTCAATACTTGGTGTATATTCTCGAGAGAGCCACCATTTCCTCCATAGTCATTCGTTTGCGAGTGCATCAAGGTCGCGACTGGCAAAAGGAAGGTCGTGTAGTGGAGAGTATCCCTTATCCCAACAAATCTCGTCCCGACCACCACATTGTTTTTCTACCCTTCTGTCGCTTATCCAATGTTCGGGCCTTCCGGGTGGTTCCAGATACTCGGCGCATGGACCGCGTCACTGATTGGGGGCTGATAAACTACGGCCGTGACTTCATCCTGAACAATGGTTACCGGAACTATAACGATGGCCCTCTCAGCCAGGACAGGCAATACCGGGATATTGTCCGAGAGTTTGATGATATTGACGCCCTGATTCGAGATACCGACTTTTTCCTGGAGACACACCTTGACACTCTACATGGTAATACTGCAGCAATGCTTCGCCTTGACCGAGCCGCCCATTGGCCTCTGGGAGCACCCGTCGACTATACGTTCAGGCTCGAGCGTAGCTTGTTAGATATTCGGCAGTACCCAGGCTCAGTGAATCTTCACGATCCCGGTCTGAAGCAGCATTGCCTCCGCATGTGGGCGTTCTGTGACCTTTACCTGATACCTTACCCAATGAAAGACAAAAGGTCATGGGAGGAATGGTGTTCGCTCTATCCTGAAGGACTACGTCCCCATGACCACGAGAGTATTCATGATCCCTTGGTTGAGATAACTGACAACCCCGGGTATTTTGGCAACTTCGACACCACTCAGATAGATGGAGAATACGAGATTAATATCCATAACTATTGGCAGCGCAATTGGAACGGTAGACCTGCATTTCGTCGCCGCCGCTTTGAACAGGCCTGGTGTACGGACTGCCGGCGGATAGGATATAGGACTGGGTGTGACCAAGACTGTGAGAAGCTGAATGGTTCTGACTATGAGGAGGACTGGGAATTTTGGTCCTTTAATGCTTCGGATTACTCTGATCCTGATGTATTCTAATAAGTATAACAAACTGAGTAGCTACTCATGACCTGAGCCCTGTTGACAAATCATAAATCTGAAATCTTCTAATTCTACTGGTCTTATCTTAATTTTGACATCAAGGAAAGCGCAGACAAGCAAGCTTTGATCTCGACTATGGAGTACAACCAAAGCACAGTCAAGGTAGTTGCGGAGGACATGTTGACCATTCTTAGATGGCAGGACCCAAGCGCTCTGTCGTAGTTTCTATAATGGTGTACATTGGTATTCGTCTATACTCCAGAAACGATTCTGCCTTTCCTCCTCTCTTCTCTCTCTTTTTCCCTCAAGTTTCGTCTGAAATCTTTACGTAGATTCGTTTATTGACGCCAAACTTATGCTTCGTTTTAACTTCCTCTCCACCGATATGCCGGCATCACCGTGAGTCTTGGCTAGTACCCATGGATGGATCTCCATCTGACGTTTTATTAGGAAGATGTCGGCCGACGAGGGCTCGCTCACCGGAGCGGCCCTGGGTATGTCTCCCCCCCCCTCTGATAACGGCGCGCTTGGTGACGACCTTCCGTCAAGCTTCCATCCTTGGTGGGGCCCAGAGTCGTGTGTTTGGCTCCTCGTTGAGGAACCCAACGACATTGCTCTGGACCCCGTCGAGCAATGGAGGCGGCTATCTTTCCTCCTGGAGTATGGCGACTACGCGGCTCGGGTTTGGAACTGCCTGTTGAAGGCGTCCCGAGCGCTGAAGTCTCCCATCTACAAGTCAGTCGTCCAGTTTCGTGACAATCTTACCCAAGAATTGAAAGATTCTTCCGACGAAACGAAAAAAAGGATCCGCCTGGTCGAGAGATGCGTCGTGTATCTCATCAACCAGGGCCTGGATATCGACCTTGAGATGGTGAAACTGGCAATTCTGGTCTATAGCAAGCGGAACATCACTTGTCACGCTAGGATAGGGGAGATATCGAACTCTGCCGCGCTGAGGAGAGAAATCGAGAGGGCCAACCGCCGACTCCCCGAGGTCCTGCCAAGTGACCAGTCCCGCAACTATAGTGCCTGGCAACGGATTCTGGCCTTCTACGGCAGTTCCCAAGACTTTATCAACCTCAAACCCGGCACTGGGTTTGGCCGTGTCTTGCCCGAGCCCGACATCAGAAGCCTGCCCTCCGACGCACGGTGCCGTGCGTTCAAGAACAACGTCTTCGATCGTCGCATTGACGCGACTTTCCAGGCAATCAATGAGCGGATCCCGGTCACCTCTCGTCCTGTTCTTGGTCAAACGCGGACGAGGCATAGCGTGTCGGATCCGCTCCCTTACATTCCTCGGAAAAGGCGTGCCGTTGGATCGCCGGACTCCGATGAACGTAACAATGGAAAGCCTGCCGCCTCGCCATTCCCCACTGTGGCCTTTGGAAACGTGGAGGATGCCTGTACGTATCAAGAGATCTACAGGGACATCGATTACGTGTTCGGCAAGAACCAGCGATCAGGCCGGAGGGCGCTCCAGGAGGCACGGAAGGTCGTTCGCCAAGCGCGGGCTAACGTTGATAGGCCCAAGGGGGGGGGGGGGGGGGGGGTAAGAAGGGCTGAGTGGAAACGCCGGGATTGATGCACGCACTTCGAGAGGCGATTAAGTCATATTCCCGGCGCCACTCAGCCCCGCCATCGGCGGTAAGCAAGGCCCAGTTTCTATGCTCCTGTTAATTGGGCTGACTTCTTTTTGACTCCGCCTTGTGCGGAGTCCCCCCAGCGATGAGCTTGCACCTTACCGTGGTGCTGGGGTCCAGTATTCCTCTGAAAGGAGGAAGAAGCTAAGACAAGCTCTTTCGTAGGGACATAGTCTCGTAGTTTTTATATAATCCCAGCGGTACTTTATAAGACTTTCCTTCGTATCTGAATAAGGTATCTATAGTGATGAGGGCGTCTTCGGACAAGAGTGGGGTTGTTACCGTGTAGAGACTGGAATCATGGGCTGATGGAGATGATTGTCCCGCTGTATAGAAGAGAAGAAGCAGATCAGTTGATTTAACAGACTGGTACTGGTATGGGCGTTGCTGCGAAAGGTAAAAAGCGCCTGTGATTCGGTCATTGGTTAGGTTGCCGCATGGGGCTACCATGCCTTTTCTGAGACACACAGTTGCTGCATCTGGTATCAGCCGCAATACAGACTTCGGGTATATGAGAATCCTAGGGATAGTTATGAAGCTAGGCACCCTCGAAGGTAGTGTTCCCTTCGGAATATGGTATCGGTCGAAGCAGGCACGTTCATGATTGGCGGGTGCTTGAAGGGTAAATACTACTACGTAGTACATACTAGGCGAGAGGGAGCGTTCTCCATGCCGCTTACCTAATCCGCTTTGTTTCTCTGTCTACCGTGAACCGACCATTTCCGTGCAAACTGCTTATGGGATGCTAAAGGGCGTAAGATCTACGGGAGGAGGATACACAGGATCTTAGACAAGAGATGATAGGACACAGTAAGAAGCTATGGAAGGATGGAGGATGGAAAAGGCTCCACATGAGATGCTGCGCGGGCCCGGTACGACCATGGATGCCTTCAACTGGACAGGGAACAGAAGCGAGCGGGTCCACGTAGAAAGGCTTACATAAACGTGGAAGAAACTTAAGGGAAGAGAAGTGAGTCCCACAGGAGATGCCCACGAGGCATCTACAAGAGGTTGGCTACGAACGTTGTGATTGGTCAGTGGGAGCTGGGAATAGCTTCATTGATATTACGGTATTTGGCCGATACGACCGATTACTACTTAACTTACGAGGATCCTGTATAGCGAAGTTCGCAACCTGACAGCCCTATGCACGCATGCTTCTCAGCCAGAGTGCCCTAGCTGCGCTATTTCTGAGTACGGCGAACTACTACAACTACTACAACTACTACAACTACTACAACTACTACAACTACTACAACTACTACAACTACTACAACTACTACAACTACTACAACTACTACAACTACTACAACTACTACAACTACTACAACTACTACAACTACTACAACTACTACAACTACTACCGCCGCTTTCTTTTGTTCTTGTAGTCTGACCGTTGTCAAGATACGTTAGCCGACATCCACTCTGGCATCCGGGAAAGTATACATCTTCAAGCAAAGGGCTGAGTGAAGCTTAGGCTTCAGGCCATCATTGACTGGCTGCAACAGTGTACAAAGTCATACGTACTCAAGGAAAATGGTCCCAGGATAATAGAAGTCCTAATCCACCTCCAGATCGCTGTGAAGTGTACCGTATCCATCTCCCGCGTCGTCCCCGTCACCACCGAGGCCGGTACCCCCTCTAGCACCGTCTCCCCCTTCTGCTCAGGAACAAATGTGTATCTTTCCAGACGTGTCATCGTTTCCTCCGGGTTCGTCTCGTTGTCCGAATACACCAGTCGCACGGCCTTCAACTTTTTCTTTTAGGCTTCTCCTCGCCTTTGGTCTTGTCGGCGGTCGTCCCCGCTTGCTTCGCTGCTCCCGAGAGATACAGACAAACTTCGAAGACTAGCTGTCATTTGAAACCTTTATAACCCTTGTCGTTCACTTTCCTTTCGTATACCTTGTTTCGAGGAGTTACCGTACATCTTTCGCTTCGAAAATAACGCATTTGCTCGACCCTTTGTTGGGGTATAATCTGCCTTGCTTGTTAGGGTTCAGCATTTCCCCAAAGGTGGCAACTGATTCGAATTCTTGCTCACAGTGAAGAAATATTCTATGAACATCCTTTGATAGCTCCCCATTTTTCAGGAGGCTGCGGTAGGTGTGGACCATCATCGCGTATAATCTGCATCTCCACAGACGTCGAGATCGTATCTGCTGGCGCTTGCCCCATATGCATCTGCTGCATCTGGTATGTGCTGACTGGTGGCGCTACCATGACTGGTTGCTGCGGAAGACTGGAAGATACAGGCAGGCTGCCTAACTGTGGCGATTCGAATACTCCAGCCGTCTGCAGTGGAGTATGGGATGGAGGGGGTTGTGCCGGGAATACCGAGAAACTAGTGCCTATGTCGCTCAGGGCGTGCTCTGGAACGACTGCGCGAGTATCCCGCCGGAGGGATCTGTGCGTTGGGAGGGAATTGCAGCTGTCCGGGGGAGAAGATTGGATAGACAGGGCTGTCGGTTTGAGGGTGCGATCTCTATCTCGGAATCAAGTCAGTTATCGTCATAACCTGGATCCTCAATCATGTCCCACAAGAGCAGCTGACCTGTGATAGATGGCTGCCTACTCACAGTTCGAATTAGAAACCATGCGGTTGATGCAGCCCGGATTCACCACAGCCGCTCAACAGCTATCGTTCGACTCGTTCTCCATAAAAACAACCTCGACAGTAATGGATATCTGGTATAACCCAGAACTCGTCCATCACATGCATTCCGCCGACGTATGTTGGTGTTGGAGACAGGATGGATCCCACATGAAGAAGCTCGATTCGGACCGCTATTTGTGCGCCTGCCTCGTTTGGAAACAATCAAGTCCAGGCACGAGAACACCCGAGACCTCGTGATCGATAACCTGCGAAAAGCGGCACAGCGCCAGCGGCCTTCTCCATGCTCCCGCCGGCAGAAAATCATCGCAAACAATCAATGGGGGAAATCATGGACTGAATCTGATTCAATTGCGCCCTTCTCTTTTCTCCTTCTTCTAAAATCATTGAGTGAGATGCAATCGGCAAGTAGAACCCGTCGTGTGGCTTGAGCGCTTGTCGCGTAAAGCAAGAGGGAAAAAAAAAAAAAAAAAAAAAAAAAAAAAAAAAAAAAACCAGACAGGCTTTCCCCGCAAGATGCAGCAGTCTAGATCGTTAAAACATGCATTCATTTGGGTTCTACTTCTTTCGTATCCCCGGAGAAAACATATCGAGCCATGAGTTGTAATCAATTGAGAATAAAGACCCGATCAACAGGGAACCTTGAGGGCAGTCAGAAGCCGATTGCTTCATTACCCCAACCTCATAATCCAACCATGACCTATCCTTAGCAAAGCAGATCTGTCACTCAATATCACACCATTGATTCGAATAGATAATCTCGATACGACGCCCACACTCCGCGCGATTATGGCCATGGCAGACGGCCGATACGGAGACATTGATTCTATTTTCGACATTCGCGATGGAGGCAGTGGATAAAAATTCCCGCGTTTTCCCCGTCTTCCCAGTGTTGTAACCGGGACATGAAACACCCAGACCCGGCAAAATGCCATCGTGGTTGGGGTGCAGTGAAAGGAGCAGCAGTTGGTACGTTTCGAGGGAAAAGGGTTAGCCAGTAGAAAGTTCGAGGGTCAGCCGTAGGGGAAAAAGGTAAAGCCCCAGTCGAGTGTCGGCACCACCTTCCGACTACATCGAAGATTGTGAGAATTGTAAACTCTAATGTGCTTCTTTCTTGCGTGCTAAGCTTCCCTGTGGATAGGCCGGAGGGGACTATGCAGTTAGACCCTCTTATTTAGGGGTTCATTATTGGTCTCGGGAATTTTAGGCTGCTTCAGCGGTCGCGGGTTCGCTGCTCGGGGTTTGCATGGTGGTTCCTGGAAACAGACACCATTTCCAATTCAAGTTTAGCTTTTGTAGACTAGAGAGAGGGTGCAAAGACCTCCCCAAAGTTGGGAAGTCGAGGTCGAGCGAACGGTGGGGTTTCAGGGTGAGACGAGGCCAAAATAGGGTTTGGCTCGAAACAGCGGGTCTTCATTGGATGGCTATTCTTAGACCGAAGAATAGGGGGGGGATAATTCGTGCTTGATAGTATAGTACGGGCAATTGAAAATACACAGGAACTGTTTAGAGTCGAAGCTGTAGATGAGAGATAAAGTAAGTGATTGAATAATCTTGGAGAGTTGAGTTGGCGTTGCCTGCCGATCAGAAAAGGACATTGGGAAGTCTAAACGGGGACAGTTCCGAGGATCATCCGCAACGCCCGGAAGAACCAGCCGATCCCCCCATCTTCGGGCAAACTCCAAACATGAGCTGCAGATCGTTGGTGCAGGGGTCGCGATCTTGATACACCTCCACTGCTCTCCAGCCAGTCTCGCATCTACTATTGCAGTAAAGGAATTTACGTTTATCCGGTGCCCAGTAGTACTGTTCAGGCATCAACAGTGGCTCGTTTGGCGCTCTCGTTCTCGTCCCTCTACTCATATGCGATCAATGCATCTACTTACTATGGATAACCTAATATCATCGGCCCCTAATCCAGGTCACCAACTAAGCTCGAGCATTGGCCTTCTCGAACCCGATCAAAGCCTCTCCATCCCGATCCCTGGGTCTCACTTCTAGCGTGTTTCGACGCAGCGAGACCGGCCAGGTTATGAGCCGGTCTTCCCTTCCCGATTCGGAGCTCTGAATCCCGATAGACTGCCGGCTCTGTGCCCTTTGTGATCAATGCAGATGTTCCAGTCCCAGGATAGCCCGTCGTCCCTAACCAGATCCACTCCTAACCAAGTCCGTGCCCGTCGGAAAACCCAGATGATGGTTCATTCTCCGGTTCACTAAGATGCTTGGCAGGTCCGAACCAGGCCATGGACGCTTTTCTTAGAAACTCTACACTGACACGAGCAGCCACTATCAAACCACCGCGGTTTCACGGGCCCCTATCCATGGGGAGACAGCCATGGCTCTCCGCGATGCGGGATAGGAAGACGGGAACCATGCGACGGAAAAAAAAGGCATATATAGCCTCTGTCACCACGCCCATCAGGTTGACTTTCTTTCCATCCCATCCTCATCCCTCTCATCAGTCTTTTCTCCTCTTTTTTCCTCTCGCTCTCGTTTGCTTTCCAGATCGCCTGTGGCGTATCGCTCTTTGTGTTTAACTTTTCAATAATTCCGTTCAACTCTCGTTCTTCTCGATTCCCGTTTCTCGAAGGTAACCTTCCCATCACTTCCTGGTCCTTCGACACAACCACACCTTAGCACAGGGCTAACCATCACAGAAACCGAAATCAATCAGTCAAAATGGTTCGCTTCTACAGAGTCTCCGCCGCGACCCTCGTCACCGCCGCCACCGTCTCCGCCATCCCTATCCCATGCCTCCTTCCCTTCCTCAGCGGCGCTGGTAGCCTCCTGGGAAGCTCCGGCCTGGGTGCCAGTCTCGGCCTCGGTGGCAGTGCCAGCGGCAGTGGCGGCGCCGACTTGGGCGCCAGCCTTGGTGGTAGCGGCAGCGGTAGTGGAAGTGCTGGTGCTGGTCTCGGTGCTGACCTCGGCGCCGGTCTGAGCGGCAGCGCTGGTCTGGGTGCCCTTCTGGGCGGTGGTGCCAGTGCCACCGGTGCTGCAGGTGCTGGTGCGTCTGGAGCCGCTGGTCTTGGTGGCTCTGCTGACCTGGGCGCTGACCTGGGTGCCGGTCTGGGCGCTGGTCTGGGTGCCGGTCTGGGTGGAAGTGGTAGCGCTGGTGCTGGCCTTGGTGCCAGTGCTACTGGTGCCTCGGGCTCTGCTGGTCTAGGTGCCGGTCTTGGTGGATCTGCTGGCCTCGGTGGCTCCGCCGGTCTCGGTGGCAGCGCTGGTCTCGGCGCTGGTCTGGGAGGAAGTGCCACTGGTGCCGCTGGTGCCGGTGCTTCTGGCGCTGCTGGCCTGGGTGGTAGCGCCGGCCTTGGTGCTGGTCTTGGAGGAAGTGCTACTGGCGCTGCTGGCGCTGGCGCTTCCGGTGCTGCTGGTCTCGGCGGTTCCGCCGGTCTTGGTGGCTCTGCCGGTCTGGGCGCTGGTCTGGGAGGAAGTGCTACCGGTTCTCTCGGTGCTGGTGCCTCGGGTGCTGCTGGCCTTGGTGGCTCTGCCGGTCTTGGTGGCAGTGCTACCGGTGCTGCAGGTGCAGGTGCTTCCGGCGCTGCTGGCCTTGGTGCTGGTGCCGGTCTTGGAGGAAGTGCTACCGGTTCTCTCGGTGCTGGTGCCTCAGGTGCTGCTGGTCTTGGTGCTGGTGCCGGTCTTGGTGGCAGCGCTACCGGTGCTGCTGGCGCTGGTGCTTCCGGCGCTGCTGGTGCTGGTCTCGGTGCTGGTCTTTCCGGCTCTGGCTCCGCCGGACTCTCTGGATCTGGATCTGCTGGTCTCGGTGCTGGCGCGGGTCTTGGTGCCAGCCCCAGCGGCAGCGTCGGTGCTAGCCCTAGCGCTGGTGCCGGTCTTGGTGCCGGTCTCTCTGGATCTGGCTCCGCTGGTCTCTCTGGATCTGGATCTGCTGGCCTCGGTGCGGGTGCTGGTCTCGGTGGTTCCGGCAGTGCCTCTGGTGATGTGAGCGGTAGCGGATCCGGCTCTGCTGATCTTGGTGCCGGAGCCTCTGGCAGCGGTGATGACGATACTGACGTCGGTGTTTCTCCTACGACTGCGGAAGCTCCCAGTGCCACCACCACTTGGGTCAGTGCCTCCACCAGCGTCTCTCTCGGTCCTTACGGTGGCGCCAGCGGCAGCATCACGGCTGGAGGATCCACGGGCGGCGACGACAGCGACGATTCCGGTGCCGGAGCTGATGCCGATGCAGATGCGGATGCTAGCGCGGATGCCGATGCCAGCGCTGATGCGGATGCCGATGCCTCTGCCAGCGGCAGCGGAAGTGCTGATGCCAACGCTAGTGCTGGGGCCTCCGTTAGTGGTAGCGCTGAGGCCTCTGCTAGCGCTAATGCGAAGGCTTCTGCGTCCTTGAACTTCTCTGCTTAAGGTACTTTCCACTCTTCATCCTGAAATATTTGCAGGGTTGCTAATAAGTGAACAGGAGTTACGGCGTTGGTATCAATCGATCGCTCTAGAGTGACACCACACTGCCTCGAGCTTCCGGGAATCGATTGTTTCAAAATGTTAGGTATATCACCTGGGATGGGAAATGGAAATGGGTTCAATGCTGTCATTCGTTCATGATTATATTGTCTAATTATTTGTGTCATTCTTTGACGAGTACTACTTACACTGAGATTGAGAGGATCCAGGCCAGTCTGCCATAGTCATAATCTGAATTCAAGCCTGTTGATAGATAATTCTGCTACCTTTTTCCCTCTGTATTTTCAGTAGTATCGTTGAATTATTATCAGCAATGATGACTGTCTTACCTAGACTGTACTTGGACTAGGCATTATTCTTTATTTTAGTTTTCATTGAAGTGTGTACAGCCAAATTATGTTATTAAAAAAGATGACTCTGGGAGTGTAGTGATGCATTCGGTCTACTAGTATGGCTTCACAGAAACCAGTTGTGGATGAGACTGAGAAAAAGAGTAGTACCAAAGAAAGCGAGAAGGCAAACTGCTCTCTCTCTCCACTCACTAGCTAACGGGAAGCCTGGCGAACAAAGAAAAAAAAAAAAAACAAAAAAAAAGAATGACCTACGCAGGACTCGAACCTGCAATCTCTTGATCCGTAGTCAAGCGCCTTACCATTGGGCCAGCAGGCCAATTGTTGAAAATATTGTGTTAATTAGTGTTACAAGAGCCAAGTCGTTGCACAGTTGGTTTACACGACCGGTCTTCGGGGTTTTCTCATGGGGTTCAACCCGACGCGGTAAGTACTTCGAAAGTATGCTTTACTATTACTGATACCGATTCCAAAATGCTAGTTCCTGATTAATAGTAGCAATAACTGAATTCACCAGGGAAAAACGGTACCATCCCAAACCCGCAACTGGGCTCCGGCGGACTCGCGCGTGGCACCATCAATCAGCTTGACAATGCCACCAACACTCTCCTCAACTGTCTGAAAAGCCCTCTCCAGCCCGACCTTGCGTGCACTCGCATTCCCCATGTCCGTGTCCGGGAATCTGTTCATCCGAATCATTAGTATGTCTAATCTTGACATTACACCCATTTGTCCCAATCGATACACTCACCCAGGATCTGCGACAAAGCTAATAAAATCCTCATTCTCAAAGTGAATTTTGCGAACTATCCAATGAAGTATAGCCTTGCTCGGCCCGTAAGCAGTACATGGATAGGAACGCTGCTCCATCCCACCAATGCTGCCCAGGGGGCTGCCAATTCCGACGAAGGTAGGCCGGGCACTCTCAAGAAGCAGGGGATAGACCGCCTGGAAGAGATACAGAGGCCCAAAGCCGTTCACCTCGACATGATCACGGAAGACGTCGAGGGGGACGCTGTCCACCCGGGAGAAGTCATCACTTATGCCTGCGTTCGCAATCACAATGTCCACATGATTGATGTCGTGCTCGTGCTGCAGAATATGAACGGCGGTAACAGGGTCTTCTGGGACTTTAGAGTCAATTTTGACGATGATGAGGTGAGAACCGGGACCGGTGGGTAGGTTTGATAAGGACTGGCTTTGAGGGCTGGAGGGGTCGCGGACGGCAGCTATGATAGTCGTGTTTGATCGTGATAGGAAGGTTTCTGTCAAGCCTTGGCCTATGCCTCGGCTGGCGCCGGTGATCAGATAGGTGAGGTTATTGGACTCTGTCATAACGTTTATGGCTTATAGGTATTTAAGGACGACTGGATGGGATGAGAGTAAATCAGTCGTGATTTAGACAGGATATATGTAGTAATACCGGCTACTTTATATATTGTGTTAAGGTCTAACAATTGAACTGCATTTGTCATGCATCTTCTATGTCTATGGTGTCATAGTACCGATCAGGCACTAGTAGAGGTAGACCATAGTTGTGATCCTTCTATGTCGAGGGCGCGGCCCAGATGCTTTGATGCAGTACTCCGCTTTAACCAGCGGGGAACCGTGCTACTCGAGTAACACCAATTCGATAATGATGCGATGAGGTGATTGCAATGCTGGATCTTACCGGAAAGGGCGTCCTGTGCTAGATGCCTCATCATGTTGCCAATCTCATTCTTGGATCTCTCGCGATGCATGTCAATATGTACTACAGTCCCTGCTAATGGCATTATATTTTGTGTACATCTACAGCTGTGGCCGTTCTGGAGTAGGAGGAGTCTAAGGTGTGCCGGTTGCTTGTTGTATGGAGTTGCTTGACGCAGTGGGGGCTATTTAGATGCATGCAGGAACCTGGAGTAAGCCCTAGTATAGTCTACGGTTGCAACTGTCCACTAATTATGCTTGGCCTCAGAAACACCCCTATCAAGACATATCATGTTAATTGCGCTGACGTATTACAGTAAGCAAAGAGCATTAGTAATTCTGAACCCATCATTACCAATGGTGACAAATCCACTACAATTTTGTTTAGATATAGACATAATCCACTCTTTAATGACTCTCCTCAAACAATCCTCCGTGTTTCTCGGGCGCTATACAGTAGTTTGCAAAACTACCATGCCTACCCCTTGACGCTCTGCCTCTTTCCCAATCCCTAGCCTTTCTGCGCTAGTCCTTATACGTTTAGTTTGTATGTCAGACTCCTTGGCGCTGTTGGTCCCGTTTTGTAAGTATGATAACATTACTTCCCTAATGTTACAGTACATGTAAATATATGACAGAAATCTAGAAGCTTCCATGTCCGGAAAAACGCTCAGGTGGCCACATTTGTATTACTTTTGGCTTCTCCAAACCACTTCACAGTTCCTATACCATGGTGCAGAAAATAGTGCAGCGATGTCTCCACACCTATCGCCAGGACAGATTCAGCCTATCTTTGATATGCAGTCAGTCGCGGCATGTCAAGCTCGGAAGCCAGTGAAGCTGCTCAGGGCAGGAAGCAGGCGGTTAAAAAGCATCTCACCCAAACTTCTTAAAGTCTTCAAATCCCTAGAGACCCCCAACATAGATTAGACCAGTCCAAAGAGACAGTACAAGAAGAGTAAAATCACGAATAAGTCTAATAATCCCAGATCTCTTCTACACAGTGATTATGAAAGACGCCGAACTAAAACAGGAATGATTTGATTATATGGTACTTTAATTCTTATATACGAGATACCCTAACCGTCAATATACCCAGAGCAAGTATGGACTTCATGACAGCACGGCAAGCAGAGATAAGATACAGTACTAACCTAAAATATCTTTGATAATTTACCTTTCATCTAATTATCTGCTGAAGACTAGAAAGCTCCGTCTAAATCCCACTTTAATTTATTTAACTTAAGCAATAAAAGAGTCATCGTACTATCATACTACTTTTATCTAATAATAGAAAAAAAAGTAAATCGGCTAGGTCATAAAAACTTTCTAGAAATACTTTCTTTTGAGATGTAACATACTCATACTTATCTAACTCTCAGTCTTTCATACTCTTCCTCTTCTGATATTCTTTATACGGCAAGTATATAGTATTCTTTGTTAAAGTCATCCTTATCATTATCTTGACTCATTGCGATAACAACACAGTTTTCAGACTCAACCTCGGCCGCTGAACCCATGTTGAAATATAGAATACCAACTTTGACTTTCTTCATAATCTTAACTTCTATTGTAACTTCAATCTTCTTTATCTTAATAAATATTATATGCTCTCCATCTCTTTCTCGCGTATAATAATCTTCAAGTTATTGAACTTCGATATTAATACCGCGCTCGAAGTTGTCAAAGCTTAAGCTTTAGTATCTTAGAACTTAAAGATCCATTTATAACAGAAAATTAATTTTATTATAATAAAATATCCAAAACCATGATAGAATATAATTATTATTATAAGAGATTCGATCTTTCTCCATTCCAGCCTGCTTCCAT